AAATATTTATTTATATATTTATTTATATATTTAAAGTAGACAAAGAAATAATAAAGATTACTATTCACAATAGCAAAATGGGATACACACACACATACATATACATTATATATTATATATATCACATTGATTCTGTCTCTCTGGAGAACCCTAAGATACTGATACCAAAAAAAAGACATTACAAGAAAAGAAAACTATAGACAAATCCTCTTATGACATAGAGGTAAAACTTCTTAATAAAATTTTAATAAACGTAATCTAATAACATACCAAAAGAATAATACAAAATGACTAGAGTTTTTTCAGGAATACAAGGTTGGTTTAACCATATTGTGCCATCAATGTAATTTACCGTATTAACAGACTAAAAAAGTAAAACCATATTATCATCTCAATGGATGCAGGGTAAGCACTTGACAATACCCAACACCTATTTTTGATATAAATTCTCAGCAAACTAGAAAGAAAAGAACTTCCTCAACCTGTTAAAGGACATCTAAGAAAAACCACAGCTAACATACTTAAAGATGAAAGACAATGCTTTCCTCCTAAGATCATGAACAACGCAAGGATGTCTTCTCTCCACTTCTATTCAACATTGTACTGGAGGTTCTAGCCAGTGCAATAAGCCAAGTAATAGAAACAAAAAGCACCCAGATAGGAAAGGAAACAAATTGTTTTTGTTCACAGACAACATGATTGTCTATGTAGAATATTCAATGGTCTTACAAAAGAAGTTACTAGAATTAATAACTGAGTATAACAGTTTTGCCTTTTATTTTGATTAATATACAAAAATTAATTGTATTTTTATATACTAGCAATAAACAATTGGAGATTTAAAAATTTTTAATACCATATATAGCCTGGTACAGTGGCTTACACCTATAATCCCAGCACTTTGGGAGGTCAAGGTAGAAGGATCACTTCAGTACAGAAGTCCAAGGCCAGCCTAGGCAACATAGTGAGATCCCGTGTCTACACAAAAATAAAAGTATCCAGGCATAGTGGCACATGTCTGTAGTGCCAGAGCTACTTGAGAAGCTGAGGTGGGAGGATCACTTGAGCCCAGAAGTTCAAGGCTGCAATGAGTTGTGATCATGCCACCGTACTTCAGCCTGAGTGACAGAGCAAAACCCTGCCTCTAAAAAAACAAAAAGGAAAGCACATAAAATAGCATCAAAAATATAAAGTATTTAGGAATAAACCTGTCAAAATATATGTTCATGTATGAAAAGACTCAATATTGTTAAGATGTTAATTCTCCCCAAACTGATCTAGAAATGCAATACAATCTTGATCAAAATCCCAGCAGGCATTTTTGTAGTAACTGAGGAGCCAACTAAAATGGACTTAGAGTAGCTAAAACAAATCCTTTTAAACGTTTTGGGCCAGGCACGGTGGCTCATGCCTGTAATCTCAGCAGTTTGGGAGGCCGAGGCCGGCAGATCACTTGAAGTCAGGGGTTTAAGACCAGCATGGCCAATATGGTAGAACCCTGTCTCTACTAAAAATACAAAAATTAGCCAGGTATGGTGGTGGGCACCTGTAATCCCAGCTACTCAGGATGCTGAGGCAGGAGAATCACTTGAACCTGGGAGGCAGAGGTTGCAGTGACCCAAGATCAGGCCACTGCACTTCAACCTGGGTGACAGAGTGAGACTCCGTCAAAAAAAAAAAAAAAGTTTCACCTTGCCTGGTGTGATGGTTCATGCCTGTAAATCCCAGCACTTTAGGAGGCTGAAGAGGAAGGATCATTTCAGACGTAGGTAACATCACTGGTGAAATCTATCAAACCCAGGAACTCAAGACCCGTCTGGGTAACAAAGCAAGATCCTGTTTCTACCAAAAAAAAACTTAAAAATTTGCCAGGTAGATCACTACTCCATCTTTGGACCCCTGGACTCAAACAATCCTCTGGCCTCAGCCTCCCAAGTAGCTAGGACTACAGGTGCACACCAGCACACTCAGCTAGCATGAGTGTTTTTTGTTTTTGTTTTCTTTTTTGAGACAGGGTCTGACTCTGTTGCCCAGGCTGGAGTGCAGTGGTGAAATCATGGCCCACTGAAGCCTTGACCTCCCCAGGCTCAGCTGATCCTCCCACCTCAGTGTCCTAAGTGTCTGGGACTACAGGTGCGCATCACCACACCAGCTAATTTTTTTGTGTATTTTTGTAGAGATGGAGTCTCTCCAGTATTGCCCAGGCTGGTCTCGAACTCCTGAGCTCAAGTGATCCACCCACCTCAACCTCCTAAAGTACGGGGATTACAGACGTGAGCCACTGCACCTGGCCAGGCACCAGTGTTTTTAAAGCTCCCAGGAGATTCCAATGTGCAGCCAATGTTGAGAACTGGGGAATGAGGGATGTAAAAGAATTTGAGGAATACAAGGTACTATAAGTGTGTGGAACGTGGGAAGGATCCAGAATGTTGGTTAGATACAAGCCATGGAAGGGATGATCAAGGTAGAGAATCCAATGGGAAAGTGGGATCTTGGGTTAGGATAACTGCAGGAGTAGGGATAAAAAGAATAGGGATAACTCAGAACTATGAATGAAACATGTGAATTAGACATTCGTTCTGTCTCTCACGAAATTAGGGTCTCTGTGTGTCTTGAGAAGATGGTGGGCAGAATCATCCAATTCTCTGGCTATGTGGTTACTAATTATTTTCTCCTTTGGGAACCCAGGTCTAGGAAATTCTCAGTCATTAAACTTTCCGGAGGCTCTTTAAATTATTTGTGTAATCAGAGAACAAAAGAAGGAATCCCCTACTCTGTGATCCAGGAACAGGCATAAAGCGCATAAGAGAGAAAGTGGCCTCAATTCTTCCTCTAAACCGGAGACTCTGAATTTGGGCTGTTTCAGAATCACCTGGAAACACCCTGCCTAGAGTGCGTCTCTAGCGCTTTTATTTATTTATTTATTTATTTAAATTTTTTATTTTATTTATTTATTTTTTTTTTTTTGGAGACTGAGTCTCGCTCTGTCACCAGGCTGGAGTGCGTGGCGAAATCTCGACTCACTGCAACCTCTGCCTCCTGGGTTCAAGCAATTCTCCTGCCTCAGCCTCCCAAGTAGCTGGGATGACAGGCGTGCGTCACTATGCCCAGCTAATTTTTGTATTTTCAGTAGAAACAGAGTTTCACCATGTTGGCCAGGATGATCTCAGTCTCCTGACCTTGTGATCTGCCCGCCTCAACCTCCCAAAGTGCTGGGATTACAGGTGTGAGCCACCACGCCCAGCCGTGTTTATATTTTTAATAAATCCCTGAGGCCTCCAAAGTTTCAGAACCATGGCTATTTTTTTTTAAGACAGGGTCTCACTCTGTAGCCCAGGCCGGAGTGCAGTGGCACAATCATAGCTCACTGCAGCCTCCAATTCCCGGCCTCATGCAATCCTCCCACCTCAGCTTCCCAAATAGCTAGGACTACAGGTGCCCACCACTGCACCCAGCTGATTTATTTATTTATTTGTTTGTTTATTTATTTATTTATTTTGGTCGAGACAAGACGTTGCTATGTTGCCTAGGCTGGTTTTGAACTCCTAGGCTCAAGTGATCCCCCTGCCTCTGTCTCCTAAAGTGCTGGGATTATATGCATAAGCTACTGTGCCCAGCCTAGAACCACTACTATTAGAAGTAATAGAAGATGGCATCTATTGAAAATATCCCTGTCTCAGCCAGGTGCAGTGGCTCATGCCTGTAATCCTAGCACTTTTGGAGGCTGAGTGGGTGGATCATTTGAGGTCAAGAGTTTGAGACCAGCCTGGCCAACATGATGAAACCCTGTCTCTACTAAAAATACAAAAATTAGCTGAACTTGGTAGCACATGCTTGTAATCCCAGCTACTCGGGAGGCTGAGGCAGGAGAATCACTTGACACCAGGAGACAGAGGTTACAGTGAGCCGAGATCATGCCACGGCACTCCAGCCTGAGCAACAGAGTGAGACTCCATCTCAAAAAACAAAAAAACAAACAAAAAAAACTGTCTCAAACTCCTGTTTTCCAGGTAGATGGAGCAGGATAATGTGCTTTAATTGGTGAATGGTTTCTGATCCCAGTTTATAATGCAGAAGGCAGGAGCAAGCCAGGGACAGGTCCTGGCGAAAGGAAGCTAAAATGGTGCCTATGATACAGGGGAAAGGGATACGAAAGGGGCTTAGGTAAGACCTCCTTACAGCTAGTGGCACCTGGTCAGCAGGGCCATAGAGCTGAGGTCATCCCCTTAGCAGCAGTGGGACTTTGTCACACACACCCTCTGAGTCTTGGTGAGAAACTAGTCCCAGGGCCTCTTGTTGTCTCTGCCACCCCCGTTCATGACGTCATGGAAAATTCTGTGCAGCTGGGCTCCTGAACACAGCAGCCTGCCCTCGGCTGGATGAGGCAGCCAAAACCCTAAAAGGGTTGTGATAGGGACTGGAGTCAACAAGTAACTGTGGGAATATGGTGGCGCAGACCCTTCACCCAGGGAGCCCCATGAGCTAGAAACACCAGACAGCCAGGATGTGGCGAGAGTCGTCCAACACACTGTCTGTGTGGGACAGAGGAAGGAAGGAGATGAAGGAAGGAACAGAAAGGTAGGAGGGCGAGATCCCAGACAAGTCAGGACAACACCCATGCCTTGCCCAGGAGTCTTAAGAAGTCCAGGCACCTGCTGAGTGAAAGAGGATATATTTATTGGCTGAGCAAGAAGGGAAGGTACAGTTGGTAATGGATGCTTCTAGAAGCCACCAGCCTCAGGTTCACTTGTTCCGAGCCCAGTTTCCTCCAAGGCGGCTGTACTGAGCATCATCTCGATCTCGGAGGGGCTAAGAGAGGAGAAGAGCAAACGGTCAGGAGGCAGGGTTAGAACTCTTTGAGGAAGGGCCCCAGCAGGCCCCGACGATGAGAGTTCCTGTCTGACCTCTCCAGTCACACCCAGCGATGAACTCCCCAGTAGGACCCTTCCCACGTGCAAACAGCATTCAGTGTCAGCCCTCCTTCCCCTCAAGGCTCACCTGATAGACCTGGTCATTCCTCAATAGAGCTTGTGTGTCGGCAGCTAGAAGAACCAGAGAGAGACATCAACGGCCTAGCAGATGGGACAGTGAGATCCACCCTCCCACACCCTCAGAAGTCTGCATGAGTGATATGAACACACAAGTTCTCTCAACAGTCAAAGTTCTAGGAGTCTTTAGGAGATTGCAAGAGTAACTCCCAGCTGAGACTAAACCTACCACCTGCCCCATTCCTTAACTGGTGCATAAGCTCACTGGTACAGACACACACACACATACACACACACACACACGCTCAGCTCTTCCACTAACCCCCAGAGAGCCTTCCAGTCTCATGTCCAGCAAAGCAGAAGACTCCCAAAGCAAGGAGCACAGTGGCAATGACATCAGTGACAATCATGCCAGCCAGGGTGGCTGGATCCAGCTCCACACAGTTCTGGCACACTGTGGGGGAAGGGAGGAGAGAGGAGAGGTTGAGAGCCTTTAAGATCAGGGAACCATCTCTGCCTCCTAGGGCAACCCTTAGATCTCTCATGCCAAAACCCAATCTTCAATAAGACTCTGGGAGAAAGGCCTAGTGATGGCCTTGCCACATCTTCCTCCACCCTGCATCCCAAGGAATCCCTGAGAAGAGCCAAGAAGCAATCTCAGCTTTGTGGGGGACCTTGAACAAGGTGGTGGGCCAAACCTCTCACCCAACCGAGGCTGCACTAACATGACCCCTACTGCTCTGTCTTTCTGAGTTAAGCTCTCTCTTCCACTTTGAAGGTCCCCAAATCTGGCTCATACCATTACAAGAGTGGCCTCACTTTGTTTACAGAACAGATGGGCTCACCACAACCCTCTCTAGCCAGAAAGTTCTCACATCCAGAAGCCCCATCCATTCCAACCCAAAAGATTCAGAAAGCACATACTTCGATAATGAACTTGCACAGTAGATTCTTTGTCCTTGTATATATCTGTCCCATTACACCTATATATTCCTCGTGGGTCCAGGATGCGTTTTCCCAGGTCCAGTCTTGTATTATTTGTGAGCAGTGTTCCCACCGTTCCCTCTACCCATGTGACGCTGGTATTGCATTTCACAAACACTCTGTCCTCAAGTTCCTCTACAGGTATCTTGAAGGGGCTCACTAAAGGGGAAAAAAATATCACAATTGGAGACAGTTCTTTGGTCTGCACCAAGCCCTTTGTTCTGCGGAAGCTCATACTTAACAGAGACCATTTTCCTGGTCCAGGACGGTTTATGGTTTCTATCAAGAGAGACAGAAGTCACAAGAAAAAGCCTTCGGAAAGTTTCCCACCAACTGCATGGGTCAAGGGGGACATGAGGATGTCACTCAAGCACAGGACAAGTCTTGGGGCCTTGGTGCAAAAGAGGACCCCTCAGAGCAGGATTGATCCAAGCACTTTCCTGGAAATGAATCCAGACTGCTGATGAGGTGTAGGGGGAGCATGGACCACTGAAGCACCCGGAAGATATGGAAAGACAGAAGAACATTCCTTGGTTGGAAATGTCTGCATTTTTTCTTCAAGAAAACATCTAATACTACTTTCCAGCCATCTACAACACTCCCACTTCAGCTTCTTGTTCTCATCGTTCCTCACTGCCCCTGCTCCATTAACAACCAAGAAAGTGGGGCTCTCAATACTGAAGCCTTTCCCAGGGTCAGGGATGGCTGTGGATGGAGACCAGCTGGTTTACCAGTTCCTGAATTACCAGCTCAGTGGTCCAGAAGGGGACCAGGGCAAATCCCAGGTACAGTTTTCCACCCTTGGTTAGAAGGAGGAGAACAGGAAAAAAAAATTCTTGAATCCATCCCTAGAGCTCCTCACAAGTCAAGTCTTGTGGGAGACTTTTAGGGCTGGAGGTGGGTGCAGCAACATTCCAGATGCAGTGAGTTCCTTTGAAAGTCTGAGCACATCTCCACAGGCCACAGAGGCACTACAGTCTATGCCTCCAAACACAGGGAAAAGTGGAGTCTACATTCATTCTTCCTGGGCTTCACACTCAGTCACAAATTTGGATACAAGAGCATCTTCTAGAAAACCCTGAAATAGCTGCTGCTCACACTTCTGAAGCAGGTTGGAAGTGTATACATATATATTCAGGGAGACACAAGCACATCAAATGTTTCACATCCTACAGTCACGTCCTCTTCAGGGATCTGTCTCCAGTGGAAATCCTGAGTGTCCTAGTGCAGTCGACTATCAGGTGACCATTGGACCCAGTTTGCTTAGCATTGAAGGGGTTTCTGGGACATGGGACTTTCCATTTTAAAGCTGAAATTGGCAAACTGAGATGAGTTAAAATCCTCCCATGTAACAACCCCTCAAATCTTCCCTCCCTCCTGCTCAACCTAAAGTTAACTTCTCTTTTAAAGCAGTCCCATGAGTGCTAGGACATGCCTCCAGGGGTGACATAATCATGGCCAAACAAACAAGAGTCCTGATTCCAGAGGCCATCAGCCCTAAAAGGAGTAGTGCAGGAAGTTGTGCTCCCATGGCCAGTCCCAGATTCAGGTACATACATACTGAGCTATTTCCTACAGATCTCTGGCCTAAGGCCTTCTGAGAGACATTCTAGGCCCACATGCACCCGTGGCTGGAGTCAGTCAAAGCCAAGAGCCTGTTTCCCAGACTCTATGCTACATCCTGGCCCTGCCCTCCTGACACCCTGGGGTGCCTGGTGAATTGAAGCTAGCACCGAGAAGCACTTTTTTTTTTTTTTTTTTGAGATAAGGTCTCGTGGGGTTGCCCAAGTTGGAGGGCAGTGGCATGATCACATCTCACTGAAGCCTTGAAATCCCAGACTCAATTGACCCTCCTGCCTCAGCCTCTCAAGTAGCTGGGACTACAGCTGTGCACCACCACGCCTGGCTCATTCTTTTGTTTTTTGTAAAGATAGAGTCTCATCGTGTTGCTCAGACTGGTCTCAAACTCCTGGCCTCAAGGGATCCTCCCACTTCAGCCTCCCAAAGCTCTGGGATTACTGGTGTGAGCCACCATGCCTGGCAAGAAACACTTTCAAGTGGGCCTCACTCCCAACAGTAATGTCCCACTCAGGTCCCTTCCCCCACCCACCTGGAGTAGCTTTACCTTGGGAGAGAAGGGTAGCCAGTACCAGTCCAGACAGAAACGTGCTACGTTCCATCTCCCAGCGGAACTCATCCAGTAGATAAAGCCAGGTCACCGAACTATCAGCCTGGGTGAGAGCTGCCCTCCCCCAGCTGACTCACAGGTACCGGAAAGAGGAGAGTGGGGGAGGAACTAGAAGATGTCTGCTTCTCTGCTTTCTGCCGTTGATGATGGGAAATTGTCAGGGTGGGGGTGGGCTAGCGGTAGGGTAGGAAGGAAGCAGGTGTAAATTGCTCTATCTCTGAGCAGGGAGCTGGTAGAGAACATGGAAAAGGTGGCATGAACTTTAGCGTCCCTATTGACAATGCAACTACATTTACGCACCACCTAAAATCCGCCACATCTCGAAGCCCCTTGAGAGAAGCCATCGGCCCCATAGCACAAGCCATAGCAGCTATACTTCTCATGAAGGTTGATCTTTCTCAGGACCCTTCACTAGGCAGCCAGGGACCAGCTCTAGCAGCTTTTTGTCACTGGGAGGCTGGGCTTTAGGGACCCCAGCCAGAGATTTGAATCCTGGGTCCAATACTGCCTACCTGTGGGGCCTGGGCCAGCCATGAAATTTTTCAGTCTTATTCCATTAGCACCATTATCAGGATTCAAACAAGATGTTTGCACGGTGCCTCACACATCATATGTGCTCAATAAGGGGTAGTTATTAATAATAATATAGTTGACTCACAGGCAATATTGAGCCTCCCGGGGAGACAAATGGACCTTTTTCCCCTGTGGCCTACAAGGATCTGAAACTCTTCACACTGCTGCAGTTAGACTGTCACTTACCTGGGAACAGAGTCATGCCTGTCTTTCTCACTGCTGTATCTTGTGCCTGGCACATAATGGGAGCTCTGCACATTTTTGTTGGCTCACTGACTGACTAGCTGAGGGAGACAGGGGCCTGAGATCCTAGACATTCAGTCCGGACTCTGGCCCCTGAAAATGTGCTGGCCTGTCCTCAGAATTGTTCCACCTATTCCCTTCCAGGCGCCTATTTCATGATCTCAAAAGAACGGTGAAGCCAGGTGCCGTGTCTCACGCCTATAATCCCAACACTTTGGGAGGCTCAGGCAGGCGGATCACAAGGTTAGGAGTTTGAGACCAGCCTGACCAACATGGTGAAACCCCGTCTCTACTAAAAATACAACAATTTGGTGGCGCATGCCTGTAATCCCAGCTACTCAGGAGGCTGAGGCAGCAGAATCGCTTGAACCCAGGAGGCGGAGGTTGCAGTGAGCTGAGACAGTGCCACTGCACTCCAGCCTGGGCAACAAAGTGAGACTCTGTCTTAAAAAAGAAAAAAAAAAAAAAAAAAGTGAAAAAAATTCCCGAATGAAGGCCTGGACTGAAGTGGCTTTCCATTCGGAGGTCTGGCCCCAAGCAGCTGAGAGTTCCTCCAAATTCATTACCTATAGCAATAACAACTAACAACGAGTAACAACTGGCTACAATCCTAACAACTAATGACAGGGACATTTATTCCCCTCATGAAGAAATGGTCCCAGTACCATCTCCCACCCAGCATCCGTTGCAGTTCCCTGTACAAGATGAGTCTCTGAGTGGGAATCCAGCACTCTCTCCCTCTCCTTCCCCACCACCTCTACCCTCCTTAACGGAAAAATAAAAGGCGTCTGCACCTGCAGCCCTGCTGAGGCCCCTGCTACCCACACTTGCAGCAGAGGGTGGAGGCTCTGGGTTCTTGCCTTCTCTCAAGGGCTCCAGCCCGAACGGGGATGGGCGGAGCCAGTCTAGCTGCTGCACAGGCTGGCTGGCTGCTAAGGGCTGCTCTGTGCTTTTGCCAGAGGACAGAGACTGACATGGAACAGGGGAAGGGCCTGACTGGCTTCATCCTGGCTATCATTCTTCTTCAAGGTAAGGGCCTACTAGGGGTCTGGCAGCCTGGGGAAGGGCTCAAGGGAAGAGCCCATCACTAGTGAGACAGGAATATTGGGATCCCTAACCTTAAGCCTACCTCTGCTGTCACCTTAGAGTTCAAAGAAGGGCAAAATGGAGCCTCTTAACTGTTCTCTGCTAGAGAGAAACAGTGTCCCGTGGAGGAGAAGGAATCTTTGTCTCTGAAAAATGCAAACAGAGTACTTCACTGGCTAAAGAGAGGACCCTGTTACCGCCATCTTAGATTTGAACGCAGCCCAAAAGGGCATAGGCCAGGAAACTAAAAGGAAAAAGTATATGTTCCCTACTTCAGAGCTGGGGGTTAGCAGTCGATCTATGAAACGTCCATTCACTCTGTTGGGCAGTTGGCCAACTGGTCAACAAAGATGGGTGAGATCCTAATATGTGATATGCCATGAGGAAATAAAAATGAATAAAACACTTATGCTCTACAGAACTCACAGTCTCATTGGAGAGATTAGTTTTCATGGTGCCAGACTGAGTGTATGGTACAGCATAGGTGCCTGCGTGAATACTCCGTTGGAAATATCCAACAGGAAGTGAATGAACTGGGTTGATGCCAGGAGTCTGGACATACTGGGAAAGTTAAAACCATGGAATTTGCTGAAGTCACATAAGTACTATATGAGGAAGAGGGGGCTAAAGATGGAACAGTGCAGGCACCAATTTTAAGGGGCAGTTAGAGAAAAAAAAAATTCCAGGAAAGAGATAAAAGGAGAATCAAAGAGCTGAAATAATCAAATGTATGCACTACCTTGGAAACCAAGGGAGTAGAGAGCTTCTAGAAGGAGAGAATTACCAAGAGTATAAAATGTTAAAGAGAGGCTACTAATATAAGAACGTATGTAAAAGTTTAAGTCTGTGGGATATGGCAGAATATGCATCATGGGTGATTTAGCACAGTTTCAGTGGGATATTGAGAGTGGAAGCCAAGTGAAAATTGGTAGAAGGTGAAGGTCAGGTGATGAGGTCAGCAAGTGTAGACTATTCTTTAAAGAAATTTGGATGAGGAGGGAGAAAAGACTGGGTGGTAGGTCGAGGAGGAAGTAGAGTCTAAGAATAAATGTTTCTGAGGGTGAGAGAAACTTGAGCACATTTCTAAGCTAAAGGAGAAGATGATGAGTAGAGCAGGGTCCTGGAGTTGATGGTGGAAGGACAGAGTCAAGAGTGGGGTCAAGAGCACAGAGGGGAAGGCAACGTTACCCTCTAAGACCGGGAGAAAGGAAGTGCAAACGGCGCTGGCCACAGATAGGTTTATAAAGGGAAAGGAAGCTAAAGGAGAAAGGACAATAACAGCTTCCATGTTCTAAAAAAATCCAGGTGGGAGGCAATGCCACCTGCAGAAACTGAGCTGGGTGATGGCCGGTTGGGAGACTTGAAGAGGACAGTGAGAGTTTAGAATAGAATTATTTCTGAGAGAAATGGGAGGAAAAGTCAGCTAAAGACAACACAGGTTGAGGAGCAACTCTCAAGCCTAGGTGAGGTGGCTGCATATCGTGGAAAGAGCATTGAGTTGAGCAGTAGAAAACCTGAGCTCTGGATCCAGCTCGAGCACATAATGAGCTATGTGTACTTGAACAACTCCTCCACTGTCTGGGAGTTCTCATGTCAGCCAATCCAGAAATGTGGCAGGGATGGGCGTGGTGGCTCATGCCTGTAATCCCAGCACTTTGGGAGGTCGAGGCGGGTGGATCACCTGAGGTCAGGAGTTCGAGACCATCCTGGTCAACATGGTAAAACCCCATCTCTACTAAAAATATTTTTTAAATTAGCTGGGCGTGGTGGTGGGCGCCTGTAATCCCAGCTACTCAGGAGGCTGAGGCAGGAGAATTGCTTGAACCCAGGAGATGGAGGTTGCAGTGATCCAACACGGTGCCCACTGCACTCCAGCTTCTGCGACAGAGACTCCGTCTCAAAAAAAAAAACAAAAAAACAAACAAACCAAAAAAAAGAAATGTGGCTACATGACGTCTTAAGTCCTAAAAGGAAACCTCACTCAGATATGCAACATTAAAAGATGTCAATGGGCCAGGCACAGTGGCTCAAGGCTACAATCCCAACACTTTGGGAGTCCAGGGAGGGAGGATCATTTGAGCCCAGGAGTTTAAGACCAACCTGGGCAAAATAGGGATACCCTGTGTCTACAAAAACTACAAAAATTAGCCAGGCATGGTGGCATGCACTTATGCCAGCTACTTGGGAAGCTGAAGTGGGAGGATTGCTTGAGCCCAGGAGGTCAAGGCTGCAGTGAGTCATGATCGCACCACTGCACTTCAGCCTGAGTGACAGAGAAAGGAAAAAAAAAAAAAAAAGATGTCTCGGAAAAAAATTTTTAAAACTATGTCAACGATCAGTGCAATCTCCTTTCCTGAATCCAATTTAGAATGAGGGGTCTTTGTTTTCTCTCAGTCTTCTGACCAGGAGAATAACTAGTTAGAAACTTATTTATCTGTTTGTCTTGCTTTTTCTCCCATTTGCTCATTTATTCATTTGTACATTCATTCAACAAATAAAGTTCCTACCATGTTCCAGACACTGCACTGGATACTGTTCAAAGATAATCCAGCTCTGCATGAGGTTCTAAGACGGTTCACTTCTTTTATTTCCATTATACTTTGACTCATGACCACCTCTCCCTATCACACACACTCCACCTCTAGCCACACTACCTCTCTTGTCCTTTTTCAAAGCTGTATCTTATTCAGCTATTCTTTCTACTCAGAATGCCTTTCTCTGTCTGGTACATTCCTGCTTACTCTTCAGGGCCCAGACAAATGTCATTTCCTCTATTAAGCTTTCCCTGACCCTCACCCTTGGTCAAAATTAATAGCTTCTACCCTTTTTTCATATGCAGTCATATAAGCACTAAAAGATAATGTATATGTTCTATTAAATTAATTGCATATATGTTTTAATTTTTTCACTTCGTCATAAACTTTGGAAGCAGCAGTTGATTCTTCATATCAGCACTCTTTTCTTTCATAATATCTAATTATTTTAGGTCATAATAGTGCTCGTTAAATGCTTGGATTAAATCTAATTGAATTGAATCCAAGTGCCAGATCTCTGTAGTATGTCTACCACGCAACTCTACTACCCTAAGGTTTGTTTGTTTGTTTGTTTTTGTTTTTTTGAGACAGAGTCTTGCTTTGACACCTAGGCTGGAGTGCAGTGGTGCAATCTCGGCTCACTGCAACCTCCACCTCCCAGGCTCAACTGTTCCTTCCACTTTAGCCTCCTGAGTAGCTGGGACTACAGGTGCATACCACCATGCCCGCCTAATGTTTTTGTATTTTTTTGTAGAGACAGGGTTTCACCATGTTGCCCAGGTTGGTCTCTAACTCCTAGGCTCAAGCAATCTGCCCACCTCAGTGTCCCAAAGTGCTGGGATTACAGGCATGAGCCGCTGCTCCCAGTCAACTCTGAGTTTTGAGACAGATTTGAGGACTAATTGAATAGCTAATTTCCCTGGGACATCCAGGGTTTCTACAAGAAAAGGATCACCAAGGCTGAAGATTTTATAAGGAACTCAGCCTAAAGGCTTTGGATAGTGCACACCCACTCCTTGCCAGGGCATTAGCTGCTCAAAGAGCAGAGTGTTCTCGACTGGATAGGCAATATCCTTACTTACATATACTACAATACAATTCTGATGCTAACCCCCCAAATTAGTGTCAGACCCTACAGGTTAAGAGCATGGTTCCCAGCCAGATTGCCCTCACTTTAAATGCCAGCTACAAGTTCAGGGGACCCCAGACCACTCACACTTCTGACAAACTGCCTACAATCTTAAGGATTCCCATGACCCTTCTCATTGATAATTTGCTAGAATAACTCACAGAACTTAAGAAAGTGCTGTGCTTCCTATTTCAGTTTTATTAAAAAATAAAATCAGAACCAGCTAAATGAAAAGGGCAAGGTCCAGGAGGGTCCCGAACACAGAGCCTCATGCTTTCTCCCCATGGAATTAGAACACATCACCCCCACCACTCTCCCACACTCTGCCAGCACATTGATGGGTTCACCAACCAGGAAGCTCCACTAAGTTTTTATTGAGGTATCTTTACATAGGCATGATTGATTGAATCATTGACCACTTGACTGATCTCAATCTCTAGGTTCCCTTCCTGGGGCTGATACCACTAGTTTCCAAGCTGCAATCCTCTTACCATATGGCTGGTCTTGACCAGCACCATCCTGAGTCATTGCCATGGCATAAACTCAGGTATGGTCTAAGGGTCCACCACAGATAACAAAGCCACTCCTGTCACTCATGAAATTCCAAGTGTTAGAAACACCCTCCCAGGATACCAGGACAAAGATGAGACAAATTATTTATTATCACCTTGAATTCAGCTGGGTGATCTAGTCTACAATCCAGATAACTAAGTATGGATAATATCATTTTCATGGATTTGGATCTTTCTTCATGTTGGCCTTAAATAACCATGGAAATACTTCAGGGCATCTGAAAAACTCCATGCCCAGCTAATACTCTATCTCTCTTCCGTCTTTACAGGTAGTTTGGCCCAATCATTTGAAGGTAGGAGAAATGGCTTCTTTCTATACTCAGACTCAGAATATTGATGGAAATTTGGCTTCCTACAAGAGTAGTCCTACATGAGCGAACAGTTTAGAATGAATGAAAAGATGAGGGTAGATAGGTGATGTCACTATTGTCAACCAAATCAGTGACCTGACATAACCTGCTCTGGGCAGCTTGCCTGTAGCTAAGCATTTAACTGGTCTCTTACAGGAGAAACAGGACCCTAGTAGCTAGACACATCTCAAACGGTGACCCATGAACCATCAGGTTTTGGTGTCACCTGGGATCCTGACCTCAGTCTCTGTCAATCCTTCTCTTTATTTCATCTATTCTACCCAAAGTGATCTCATCATCTGGTACGCTGTTAGCAGTTTCTTACCTGTATAGTACCTTCCAAATAACATGCCCCCAAATCCCAAAGTTTTACCCCTGCTAATTACAGCAATGTCTCTTTTATTCTTCATCCCCTGACGCAGATATTGGCGTCACCTGAGAGCATGTTAGTAATGCAGAATCTCCCCTCCCCAGAACTACTAAATAGCACCTGAAATTTTAACAAGATCCCCCATGTGATTCATGTGCACATCAAAGTTTGTGAAACGCTACTCTAATGATCTCCTGGTATACAGAAGCAGGGAGAATTTCAGAGGCAAGATCCTTAATGGAACCATGGCTTTTCTCATTTCAGGAAACCGCAAGCTTAACGTGTATAACCAAGAAGATGGTTCAGTACTTCTGACTTGTCATGTGAAAAACACAAATATCACATGGTTTAAAGAAGGGAAGATGATAGACATCCTAACTGCACATAAAAATAAATGGAATCTGGGAAGTAATACCAAGGACCCTCGAGGGGTGTATCAGTGTAAAGGATCAAAGGACAAGTCAAAAACACTTCAAGTGTATTACAGAAGTATGTAATCCCCTTTGGTCTGTTTGTCATGAAATTAATCAGTATTTGCTGCTCTGGTGAGCTTTTTGTCTGGAGTGAAAGTGGAAATAGATCCTCAACAGTGAGATTATCGCCGGTTCTCTTAATTTCAGCTTGCCTCTTTTGAAATACTATAAGATACTTCCCTCGCCCTCTTTGAAAAAGCACAGCCAGTCCTGTAAAACTTTTTTACTTTTGGATGGGCTCCATGCATTCGAGCAATTCAGCACCTTCTATAAACTGAGTTGAATGAAGGGGTTGGGGAGACAGGGGCGATCATGAGGTGAGCAGCAGTGAGGACTAGAGCACAGTGGAGCATGAAGAGCATCTAGTCTTTGTTCCACATACTCCATGGGCTTCCCCAGGAATCCTGGGGGACTGAGGAACATCAAGATGCATTGAGTTTTGGCGCAAGGACCTTCCCTTGCCCTGCCACCCACAAAGGAACAGCCTGCTGCCCTCCACAGGGGCATTATTGCTGATAGGCAGGAGAAAAAGATCCAGGAAAAACAACTTTCACACCCTGAAGGTTTGTCTCCTTTTCCCCACAGTGTGTCAGAACTGCATTGAACTAAATGCAGCCACCATATTGGGCTTTGTCTTAGCTGAAATCATCAGCATTTTCTTCCTTGCTGTTGGGGTCTACTTCATTGCTGGACAGGATGGAGTTCGCCAGTCAAGAGGTAAAAGAATG